TTCAAAAATATGTTTTGCTGTATTCCATTCAACTGATGACTATCTACTCTGTTAGGCAGCAAGCAGAATATATTCAAAATATCTTAACCAATCTGTTGGCAGCAAAGACTAAATATAATTTCACATTTCTTTAACTTAAACATATAACGGCAGAATAGTAAAGCACTTGGCTTCAAACCAGGGATCCAGGGTTCAAATCTCGGTGAAGACTCGGATTTTGAATAATGGGGATTTTTAGGACATCCCAATGTCCATCCAATTCTATTGGATACTTGGCCTAAGTAGAGGTTGGTCGTTGTGCTGGCCATATGACATCCTGCTCTCAAGATCTGAAAGGGGAACTTTATTTTTCTTTTTAACACATGTAAATTCCATTTCTTTCAGAACAGCGTAGAATGTGTACATATTGATGAACATTCCTTTTTATTTAAATTTTTGTGTTCAGACAGCAGACGACAGAAACTTGAAGGGCCTCTTGGATGGACATAATAGATTTGTATCCTTCAAGTTCTTTTTTTTAAACACGAGATCTCATATTGGATCTAACATCTAGAGCAAAAATCTAAATTTTTTCCTCCTGTAAAATCTAAGTTTAAATTTTCTTTATTGTTAATGTAGGAATCAAAATGGCCGAATTTGGTCTTTATGTATGTTGAATATGCTTTTTTTTTTCCAAAGCTTGGATCTAAAATGGCGCCAGAATGACTAATACGTATTTTATAGTTGGCCTGATTATTTCTGAAGACCAACCTTGACCCCTGTATTGTGCCATAACATTTTTGTCGCCATTTTATATGCTATCGCTTTTTAAGCCCCATATATTGCGTCACACTTCCGTTACAAAATTGTCTGCTCAAATACATAAAAAGTGGAATGCTTGATAAGTATTTGAGACACTTGTGTATGTGGGTGGCTCTTTCTCTGAACAAGGGAGGTAATCACCGTGTGCTGCAATAAACCAGGCTTTCACGTTATGTCAACTAATTAATTGAGTGCTTGTAATATATCTTTACATTCTTTGTTTGCTTCACCGTTCCGCTTTTTTGTTTTTGTCGCGGGAAGATGTAGCTGACAAGTCTGTAGCAAGATGTGACACCCGACATTGTGTGAGACCCCCTTTTTGAAGTGTTATGACATAATTTTTATTTTAGAATACTAGCAGCGCAATTCTCCATCGTTTCCTTTCTCACATTTACCTTTTAACTTAAGTAAGGGAGTTAATACAGTTTTTGTTTTGAAAAAAAAAAGTCCCTTAACTCTTCCCCACAAACCCCCCCCCCCCCCCCCCCACCCTCCCAGTATATTTAGTGTGCACTTTGAAATGGCTGAAATTCATGAAAAGCTTTATTTTTTTTATTATTTTTTTAAAACTGTCTACGTTTGAAATGAAACACATTCCATTTGTATCTTGAAGCTTCGAAAAACATTGTTGCATTTTGTGTGTGCCAGTGTTTGTATCTGTTGAGGGATCTTTCCAATGAATTTGTGTATATAGCTTTGTTGAGTGATTTTCAAAATGTATTTAAAAGTATAGCGGTGTTGGTTGATGTTTTAAATGTATTTATATGTTATTTTGAGTGATGTTTCAAATGCACTTGTAGATAGCTATGTCGATTTTCAAAATGTATTTGCCTATGTAGCGGGGTTGATGTTTCAAATGTTTGCATGTTGAATTATGCTTCAACTTTATTTGTATGTTGTTATTACAAGTGATGTTTTAAACGAATATGTATGTTGCCAAGTTGACTATAGATGTTTCACATGTTTCTGTATGTTGCTTTGTTGACTGATGTTTCACATGTATCTGTATGTTGCTATGTTGACTGATGTTTCACATGTATCTGTATGTCTCTATTTTGACTAATGTTTCACATGTTTCTGTATGTTGCTATGTTGACTGATGTTTCAACTGTATCTGTATGTTGCTATGCTGAGTGATGTTTCACGTGTATCTGTATGTTACTATGTTGACTGATGTTTCAACTGTATCTGTATGTTGCTATGTTGACTGACGTTTCAACTGTATCTGTATGTTGCTATGCTGAGTGATGTTTCACATGTATCTGTGTGTTGCTATGTTGATTGATGTTAGATCTTTCACATGTATCAGTATGTTGCTATGTTGGCTAATGTTTTACATATATCTGTATGTTGTTATGTTGACTGATGTTTCAACTGTATTTGTATGTTGCTATGAGGAGTGATGTTAGATGTTTCACATGTATCAATATGTTGTATGTTGACTGATGTTTCACATGTATCAGTATGTTGTATGTTGACTGATGTTTCACATGTATCTGTATGTTGTTATGTTGACTGATGTTTCACATGTATCAGTATGTTGTATGTTGACTGATGTTTCACATGTTTCTGTATGTTCCGGGTGGTGTTTCTAAAGCTACACTCTTTCATTTTGGTGCTCTTGATTGTAACAAATTTCAAGTTGGCTGCATTTCAAATTGTACATAGAAAATGTTTTTATTAAAACCCAGCTTGTGATTGTTGTAACTTATTTGATATCAGCGAAGCTTTCACTGGTATTAAAACATGTTTATCTTGGTTTTTGTTGGGTTTAATTTCTTTTTCTTTATATTTTCAAAAGCTACACCTTTAACCTTTTAGATAAACTACACGAGTTGTGTGATTTTTCTGACGCACCCATCTTAGCATTGGTAGCAAATCTTTCTTGCATTTTGACCTGACAATCATGATCTCAGCCTAACTTCTTTTTTGTTCTTTTCGGACTTTCCGATATAAGTAGGTCTTATCATGGTCTTATGTCACATTCTGATCAATCAAATTATATATTTATTGTTCTAACTCAGCGGTTCTCAACCTTTTATGCTCGGCGACCCCTTTTTACAATTTCCCACTTAGCAGCGACCCCCCCCCCCCCCCCCACGCACACACACAAAGCGATTGAAGAATAGACAATAACAATCCATTTTTTCAATGGTCTTTGGCGACCCCTGGCAAATTGTCAATCGAACCCAAAAGGGTCGCGATCCACAGGTTGAGTACCCCTGTTCTAACTGGTTCCGACGCGGGTAACTGTGTGAGCAGGTGACACGGGAGATAAGCGCTATAGAAAGAGCGAAGGTGAGAGTCAAGACGGTTCATACCCAGTCCAGTCGAGTGAATCCACTGTGAAGTCGTTCCAGTGCAGCAGAATCCAGTACGTCTCTCAAATAGAATCTTTACACTAAAATTGAATTACTTTAATTCACTTTAGCTATCTTGCAATTCCTAACGCCTACCCAAAAACTTCTCTCCTTATCGTGGAAATCTTTTATCTGAAGCCAAATTTAAAGGTAGTTGTATTTTTTAAAAATATTTTATATAATAACAAAATTAATTAAACAATTCCTATAATAATTGATTAATTTTGCGATTGTTTTGTTAGGAGAAAAGAATAATTGTGCAGTTTCATCTTGATCCTAGAATGGGAAGCAAAAGAGATAACGTGTGTACAATTTGGAGCAGACGACAGCGAGTTAATAAAAGCTTTGTAATAAAGTTAGCTGGAGCCCGGGTTGTCAAGTTCTTTGAATTAGTTGAGTCGTGTTACGTAATGTCTGGGGGAGGGGTGATAGACCGAGACCATGCGTTATTGAAGTACTCAACACTGGCCTGCGACGTCACAACTTGTGGGCAGTGGAGACCTATATCTTTTTGCCAGATCTGTGAGGTGGCAATGAGCTGTTGGTCTCCACTACTCACAGGTTGCGACGTCGCAGGTCAGTGTTCTGGACTTATATGACGACCGGTCTCGGATAGAGAAAGTCGTGGCAATAGTGGACGGCAAGGACCAGTAAAGGTTTAGCCGCGCAGTGTTTCGAAAACTTTTTCTGAGTATTTAGCGGAACACTTTCCTTTTTGTTTTAAGAGAGATTAATTCACGTGGTGGCCTACCAGTTAATTATTCCAGTAGTTCGTGGAACACCTATTCAGGACTCGCGGAACACAGTTTGGGGAACACTGATTTAGCGTGTTGGGGTTTACATGAAAAAAAAAAAACATGTCCCTGCCATCTTTTTTTTTTTTCTTTTTTTTTTCTTCCCATGTTTGTGCATGACGTCATATTTTATTGTGTACATCAATGTAGCTGTCTTTCCAGCTTATAGCATTGGGTGCTTTATTAATCAGCGTACCTCTTCAGTTTATGGAGTTCACATGTACAATGTTCAGCTTACCTCACATTAAGACCCTTTGTCTTCTAACATTGCTGCAGTATGATGCGTTTTTTTGTGTTGTTTTTTTTACAAAGCTAATATCATCTCAATCTGTTTAGTAAAAATTGTGTACACGTTATTTCTCCCACACCCTATCTCGGATCAAGTTGAAATTATTATTTCTTGTACCTGGCAAAACAAGAATCAATGCAATAAATTGTTTGGTATCGAACAAGGGAGAAATATATTTTACAGATGTGGTGGTATAAGTTGAATTAGTTCCCTTGAGTAGGATTGAGACTTTCGGTTCAAATTCAAGTCGTACACCTTTTTTATGCATTTAAAAAGGGATCACGGTAACTTTCACCCAGATACCTTCTTCTTTTCCCACTGGTCCAGAAAAATGATAGGATCATAGCACATTGAGAAAGCTAAAAGCATGAAATTGCACATATCCCACAAATTTATTATTTGTCTAGAGCTTAAATTCAATTATATGATCCCAAACTAATTAATACAATTGCACCTAATATTAGTTGTTGTTTTTTTTAAAGTATTTTATGTTTTTTTCTTGTTTTATGTTAAGCATCTGCTTTTCGCTAAGCAACTAAACTAAAAGAATTTATTTTCTATTCAACGGACAACTGCTTTGTCTGCGCGTGAATCGGTAAAGTATTCAGGTCGCAACTGGGTCTGCATAGTCATGTAAATCACTGCACACATCCTTAATCTTCGGAATCAAAGACATTGCCATTATTCAAAACTTTTTAAAAAATATTTTCTTATGTATAATAAAAAAAAAAAAAGAAACAAAACTGAACAATTAGCTTTATATCAAAATCAAAATTCAATTTAATGCCAGCCATCTGGAACAAAATTGTACACTCAGAGAAGAAAATATTTAAAAAATGAGACATTCCATTGATTCATACATCTGATGAAATAAAAAATTAAATTTTTCCTGAATGTTTAAAATATCTACACAAACAAATATTGTCTAAATTATAAATGAAACTTTCATGTTTGAGAATTAAAAATAGTTTGGCAAATAGAAAATTGCATTCAGTTACAGAGAAATTAAATAAGTACAAACAATATGATTAGAAAAAGTTAAGACCGAAGTGGTGGCTTAAGTCATAGCAAGTTCTCATTCGGACGAAAACTTCTTCGCCAGCTCTCTATTGGACAACAGTGGGACCCCCAAGTTAATGAACTTTCATGATGGAAGAGACTTTGGACTTCTTGACGTAACATGGTATTTGTTAGAACGCAAGACCAATCCTTACACCTGTGACAAGGCAGCGAGCTATTGGTCTAAACTGCTCACAGGTCAAAATCAGGCCTTCTAAAACTATTGGTGTCTTTAAATCACTACATTACACTGTGGTAAGTTGTCTAACCTTTACACTTTCTTTCCCCTAATTATTTCTTTGATATTTCAACTCGTATCTCGCTCTGCTCTGTTCTCAAGTGTGAGCCTATGTTGGGATTTTTTAACTGCCACATATAAATTAAACCATTATTATTTTGGGTTTCATTTTGTTTCAAATTATATTATGGGAATACATAAGAAAAAAAACAGAAAACAGAAAAAAAAAAAGAATATTGGTGAATGTTTTGGCAACTAATAACACTAACTGTGATCTTACAGAGTTGAAGCTGAATGTCACAACTAAGTTCAGTGACATCTCTAAGCCTAAATGACGTCTTTACGCCTAAGTGGCATCATTAAAATTTTACAGAGGTTTAAAAAACATTGAAGAAAAAAAACTTGTACACATTTGCTTAATTTCAATCAGCACACCTTCATGCTGTGGGGCCTCACCGGTTTGTTTGTTATGCAAGGAACACACCAAAGATACACGGAGAGAAAAAAAAAAAGAACAAATAACAATAAATATTGCAAAATTATTTTTCCTGCTGCTTGAAGCTGAGTACTGATCATACACAGGTATTGGGTACATAGAGATACACAGATTATACTTGGAGTGATATACTTCAATGGTGAGGCTGTAACTTACAGATGAGTTAAAACAGTGATCTAGAGTATTGGAGTGAGTTGAATGAATCAAGACACAATGTTCTAATGTATAGAGAGAGTTGAAGCCAACTCAAACACTACACTGAAAGGAATTGAAACAAGATGATTTCATGTAGTGACACATTCCTACAAATGCCATGCTTCATGTAACTTGATTTTATTTCTTAACAAATATGAACAATGATAAAAAGTTTTTTTTTTCAATAAAAACAAAATTTCTGAGATCTTATCCTGTATTCTACATTCCTGTATCATTCATAAAGGTCTTACATCAGTGCCATAATACAATCCACAAGTATGAGGTATATTTAGAAAGAGAGTCTCCGGTCTATCCATTCAATGTTGAATGGAAGTATTGATAAGCATGTATTTTAAACAACAAAATTATCATTTATTTTTGGTCCTTTCAGCATAATAACTCCCACTTGCAACACAAAGTAATCATTATTTAGTTTGCAACAAGTGCAATTTATTTAACTATTCTTGGTAGTGTTAATTTTGTCTTTTGTATTTCAAAATCTCTGTCCAACTTCCTTATTTTTGTATATATAATTTGTATACTTTCCATTATATTGCCCCCACATTCCTGAATATTAATTTCTCTTCTTTTTCTCTCTTGCTCTTTTTTATTGCTTTGAAAAATGTAAACCGGATCCTGAATATAACAAGTAAACAAAGCGCAGATTTACTATTGATCAAGTCAGAAAATCTCCAATGGAGGAGTTATTTATAATTTTTATTTTTACTTCTGCTCAGTATTATAGTCTTTGATTCCACACATCGCATTGTTGTGTGGGTGGGTGTAAGTGTGTGGGGGGAGAAATCCCCTGGTTGACCCACAACAAGAGTTGAACTTGACATTGTGCTCCCCTGACCTTTAATTCTTGACAAATGTTTTGTATAGTCTCTAATATTTATTATGAAATCATAACTCCAGTTATGAAGAGCTAGTCAGACAGGAGTAATAAGAAATAAAGAAATGAAGACATACAGAAAACTAATAGAAACATGATAATTATGTACAATCATTAAAACCAATTTTGCTATCACAGAAAACAATATTAAGGAATAATAGCACACAACAACTGTCTGGGGAGTGATACCGTGAAAAAAATACACTCCTATTTTTTTCCTTATCTTGAGATATCTATAATGTATGATATATCCTAAGGATATCATCTATGGTATCAATTATTCAGTTTACTTCATCAGACTTCCAGATTAACCCACAGTCACATTGCCAAAACTTTCATAATCCACATCAAACATGGTCTTCCTTTGGTTCTAAAATATGCTTAATATCATCTCAACCATTTCTATACAATGTTTTGTTTCCAAAGTTTAAAACATAGGATTTGTAACATTATAGTTGACAATAATACTCTGATTTTATGGTTTTTTTTAGTACAGTCAAATAATTATAATGTTAAAAATAAAATTCTTTTATTTAAGAAAAAAACTATTCTGCACTGCTAAGAGAAATGTATTTAGAAATGGAGCACTCTCTTTCTTTTTGGAATAATGCGGCTTGAAGTTTTTCAATTTACATAGAAATTTATATGAAAATGCCAGTCTTTGGGAAATAGTTAATTTTGGCATTGTCCCTCAGTGTTGATCCTATTCACCTAACACTAGCATTAAAAGTTACTTAATTTGGAATACGATTAACCCTTGATCTATTACAGATTTAGATTAGCTTTTAGACTTTATGGCACATCGGCACGGTTTAGACTATGTATCTATTGCAAGGAAAATCATTTGCTTGAAAATTAAAAGTGAAAAATTTTACTTTATTTTTATTTTTAAATATGTTTTTTAATTAGGGATTGAATTTTTTAAATGTATAATAGAAACTTTTGTCTTGTAATTTTGCATTGTTCCCAGATTTTCTTAGCTTCCTAAGATGGACAAACTATTTGACAAAATAGAACCAACCTATAATTAACTAGATTGATCAATTATTAACCTTACATTGCTATATTTGGCCACCCAATTTGAACTCTATTAAAAAAAAAATACATCACCAGGGAAATAGTGAAAATATACAGGTATAATTCAAAACATAGAAACTATCTTGGACAAATAATACAATATTTATAAGAATCAAACCAAATTAAGTACAATTACAAAATTTAGACAACAGTGGTAGAAAAATCTCATAGACCATCGTCTCTTCAAATTCCATAATTCTATTGATGCTATAAATACATCTAATACCTATATCTATATATACATATTTAATTAATCATCCAATCACAAGTGCTTCCCATGCTGTCAAACAAAGTGCATTGATCTATCTAGAAATGTTCACACACAGATTGTGAACTAAAATTTTTTTTATGACATTTCTAAAAGCTTTTGACCTCATCTTTGAAAAAAAACAAAAAACAACAACACTTTGTCTAATAACTGAATTGTAAATTCACCAAAGACTTTCAAATACAAATGGAATTCATTGAAATAGCAACAATAATCCATTTAGATAATGTTCGCACTTGACTTATTCTAGCTTTGATAATAAATTACATAGTTACTTTCATCCATAATCCTTTTAATCCATTTAGAGGCTATTATGGATATTGAAAGATAAACGCATCAGTTTCCATTATATGTAGGCCAGCATCATGAAGGATAGTTGCAATAGTTTACTGTTTACCATTAGTGAAAACACATTTAATTTAGAAACTTGCTATCAAAAGAACTCTTAGCGTTTGACTTTTTAAAAACTATTACAGAAATAAACAATTTCACTCTATCTGTTGATGTAAAGAGACATTCCTTTACTTAAAAGGTGATTTACATGCTAATAGCATCATGAATATAATTCTATTATAATGCTAATGGAGCATTTCAGAATATTACTATGCGTAAAATTTTACAAAGAAAAAAAAAAGATTGAACACTTATTGATGTTTAAAAAAAAAACAAAGGCATAGATACATTCCAAAATTGTAAAAATATCAAACATTTATTTGTACAAGAATTATTGTTTGTCTTCCCTACCACTTTGTAAACATTAAATATATTACTAATCATATAGGAGACAGATTACATCCATGCATGATCACCTCCCTTTATTAACAATCTTAAATTCCAGATACAGGTTTCCTTAAAAAAAAATCAAAATATATAGCCTAATTTGGACAACTCATTTCTAAAAGCACAGGCAAAGTAAGAAGGACGCTGTAGCACTAATGTGGTTTAGTATATCAGTAAGGAAATAAAAATTGCCCTTTTTGATAATCAAATTTACAATTGTGTGTTACAAAATTTTACTTTTTTTTTTTTTCAACTTTACAGAATCTGTAACCATTTCTTCTGACTTAAAAAAATTCATCTTTTATATAATATAATACACATGTTCCAGGACATTTAGTAGCAAGGATATTAAACACACAGGGAAAATAAAAAATAAACAAGTTGTGCTTTTAAAAAAAATGAAAGAAGACACAAGTGCTAATAAAAAAAAAAAATATCAAGGCCACTCTTACTGTAACATCGCTGTACATGATACCATGTGTGTAAGATCAAATGAAAATAGTGAGTAGACAAGCAAGCAAATTATGATTGAAAGAAATTCAAATTACATTGACCTTTTTTTTAATACTTAACTATTCCTGGATTAATGTTTGTTGAAAAACATGTTTGCCTAGTTCCGAATTATAGATTACAGTCCTAGAAACATGACTTTTTATTGAAAATATTATTATAACAATGTTTCTATTTAAATAGAAAACTGTGAATCTCTGAAAGAGCTCTCTTATTATAGAATAAAAAAAATTTATGAAGTTGGTTTGTTACTGTCGTTAATGTCCAGATTGTCCAGGGAACATATTGAACTATCCATGGAGAGAATGTCATCAAATACATTATCCAGAGGTCCAGACTCCAGACAGTCCTCGCCTGTTGCCTCCTTGCTCGCAGGACAAAAGACCACAGTATTGCTTGCTTTTATGAAGCTCCAAGCTCCAGGAGTCTGCGCTAAATACATTTCATTCAGTGAGCTGTAATCTCCAGACTGCAGAGCATTGTCATCCTCTGCACTGTTGTCTAAGATCAAAGAGCTGTTTGCAGAGACAACCCACTCTGAGTCAGTGCTGATGACAGAACTATTTAGCATGTCTGACCTTGACATACTATCATAAACACCAGAGTCACTTACTCCTGATATTGACCTTGAGTATGAATCAGCCATCTCAACTGACGACATCATATTGTCAGTACCATCTGCCAATATATTGCTGTCGTCTGACTCTGGTTTGTTCTGCTTTTGAGAAAAGTCTGAAAAGATTTCAGACCCTGCAGATCGACACATTCTTTCTGCTCTCCCTTCAACACTTAGAAGTTTTTCGTCACCTACTATTTTTTTCCTCCATCTCTTAAGCTTTGGTTGAGGGCTCGATGACGGAGAGTGGATGTCAGAATTGTCATCTTTCTCCACAACGAAGGTCGCTGACCTTGACCTCAGCTTTCTATCCCCATCACCGACGCTGTGACTGTTTCTCTTCTTCCTCATTACCACATCCCCAGCGACGTTCGGGGAGACGTTTCGGTGCCTGCCCTCAGGGGAGCCATGATCCCTCCTGGGAGGTGGTGACTTGCTCAACTGGCGGTGAGTCAAGCTTTCACTGGACCCAAACTCTGAGCTTTGAGACATGCGCCACATAACCTGCTCGTAGTCCATTGATAGTCGTTTGTTGGCTCGACTAGCTCTGTCATACTTGCGCATCAAAATTTGGCAGTGTTCATGAAGTTGCCTGAAAATAAAACAAAAAAAAAAAAAACCCAGAAATAATTATATACATTGTATATTAGACCAACGGTAAGAAATGCTAACAAATCATTATTGAACATAGCTAATGTTAGGGTTTTGTTTGTTGTTTTTTTTGCAAAAATTATAACCTCAACTATAAACCATTTGCACTAGATTTATCATCAGCTTTCACTTTTTCCTGCACTTTATTGACATACTTTTCCGTTACAGTAAAAAAAAAAAATGTTTTCTCATTCTTTATTTTATTTCTCTTGTATCAATATTCATGAAGTGAAACAAATGATGAAAACAAAGACTAACTTTTCATGATCTGACTTGATATTGATGATGGCTTCTAGATTTTCCACCTTCTGTTGCAGTGAAATGATTTTCTCTTTTGCTATTGGCAACTCTTCGAGCTGGAAAAACAAGAAAACGTATTGAATCTTTAGTGAACAGAAGTTTCATAAAAGAATGAGCAAAACCTGAACCTGCGTTCATGAACAGAAATTGAAACTTTCACAAGCAAATTTTGAAAACGATAATCTTTTCTTACATTTATTTCTCTTATCATTGTTAGAACATTCAACAAATTATGGCCTTCTTAAACGCGATGGCCTTCTTGATAGCAAATTAGAATGGTTTATTCAACTTATAAGGGAAACTAAAGAATACATATCACACAAAGCTAAATTCCTACAAACACACATAGCTCTTCTTGCATGACCAATGAACACAATCTCATTTCCAAGATGGCTATGCAGTCCAATCTTATCTTTGAAAAGCCAGCCACACACTAGGCATGGGTTGTTATGAATTATTATAATGAGTTTTCTGTATTGATTGAAAGTTCTTAACTTTTAAAATGAAAATTGACCTCAACGGTTTTTTTTAATTAACAGCATTTCTGGCTCATATTAAAATAAAAAAAACCTACTATTTTTTCCTGGTCAGTATTTTTGTTTCGTAGTTTCTGAATTTCTTCATTTCTCATCTCTACTACAGTTTTTAAACTTTCAATTTCTTTAGGCAGGCTCATGTAAGGTGCAAGGGCCATCTGAAATAGAACAAAACAAAATGGGAAATGATAAATAGATGGATGAATAAAAAGATAGATAGAGACAGAGATAAAGATAGAGGCTTAATATGTTCTTGAATTAATCAGTTACTTCAAATCAACCTTTACATAAATAACAAACATTTTAAGTAATGTTGAAAAAAGTCTGAATTTTTAAAATTTACATAGAGACCCTGATGACAAAGATTTGGGTTAAAGCTAGCAACGAATAGCTATTAAAGAAGTAATGAAAAAGAGACTGGAATTAATGACAGAGAACATATGAAAGAGAATATGTTGGTGCTAAGTATCATACAAAACAAAAGTTCCTGGCAGTGATGTGGAGGAACTATGGATTTATCATCATCATCATTATCAAAGTCCTTGGGAGTGTGGGCTTAAGAAACTCAAATTCTCTCTTTCTGAACTCTGGAGAGAAACCCTGTAGTTATAATTAATGTAATATCTCACCACACAGGTGAATTCAGCAAGTCTTGGGCAATAAAAAAAAATGAGACATGCACCAAAAGCACTGTGAATTAAAGTTTGGCCTGAACCATGCAAAATATGAACCAACTGAACAATGCACTAAACCAACTGAACAATGCATTGAACTATGTTATAACAGCTTGTTCAGGCATGGGTATCTCCACCATTGGCAGGAATCAGATATTAGAAATGTTGCTTTACATGTGGAGGCACAGAAATGTAGAGGCAAGCTCTCAGCTCCCTGTATGACAGAAATGGTTACTATCAGCTATGACGGACAAATTTGAATGAATGTTGCTGTTAGATATTTTGTGGAAATTGATTTCAATAATTATTAAGAAAGGAATTTTTTAAATATATTAATAGACCTAACAAATGCATTCTAAAGTATATGATAATTGGCTTAGCCAATAGATCATAATAACTTTTATTATTTATGATTTAAATATGGATATGGATGATCACAGCATAAGCAAACTTTAGAATAAACATGTTTTATATAAAATAAACATTTACAA